CAATCAATCTCATCTCAGTTTGATACTCTCCTCCACCGGATTTCTTTAGACTTTTCTGCATTAATCTTGTTAGCTTTTTCCTTGATGTTTAATATATAATAAACTTAATATCTTTAACATATTGCAGTAATTACTTCTTATTATAATTATTTAATAGGGTAAATTATATAAACCCTTATGAACTTTTAGCCCCTACAAACTTTCAAAATCACATTAAACCCCTAATTACTTTTCTGTTTCAAAGAAAATCCCCCAATAACTTTCTAAAATTTGCAAATAACCCCTATGAATTAGAATCCAAAAATAGCATAAAAAGGCATTTTAAAAGTTGTTAGAGATTTGATGTAATTTATCTAAAAGATATTGGGGGCTTTCTACAAAAGTTATTAGGGGTTTAGTGTGATTTTGAAAGTTCATAGGGTCTATTTATAGTAAAATGCTAAAAGTTCATAGGGGTTTACTATAAGGGAAAAATGTGTACAGGCCTCAAAAGCAGAAACTTCATGTGACGAGGCCCCTCATAGTTTTTTCCATGTGAATCAGCCCCTTGATGTGTGATACTTTGTACTGTAGCACTTTTTTTATTAATTATTACATGTCAGCTAAGCTAAATTCCCCAAATTATCCTTATCCTCTCTCCTTAATCCCTCAGACCCAACACTCATATCCTCTCTCTCTCTCTATCATCTCCTCTCTCTCTCTCTCTCTCTCATCTCTCTCTCTCTCTCACTACTCTCTCTAAAACTAAGAGCTTTCTCAAGCTCGTCACCCTGGCCCTCGCCCTCCTCGCCGTTGCATCCTCCGTTCAGGTCCCCAAGGCTCCCATTGAGTTCACTGCCGCCTCCCCTCCCCTCCTCCACCCGTCCTCGTCGCCATAGATCGTCGCCACTCCCCCGCTGTAGATCGCCACCGCAGAGCTTGAGAAAAACGCTCGAAAAGCTCGGGCAATTAAAGACTGTTGAGGAGTGCAGGGAGATGATCCGAAGGTATGATGTTAATGAAGATGGTGTTTTATGCTTTGATGAATTTAAGAAGATGATGCTACGAGAGTAGGTTGGTTTTTGAGATTGATCTTTACCGTAAATGATGATGATGTTGTGCCCCGTTGAGATTTAAACATTACTTTTTCTTTTTTTTATTTGAGATGACTTTGATCAATTGAGGGTTCATGTTGACAATATATCTACGTTTTTAATTTCTCACATGACTGTGGATTTATCCTTATGAGCTTCTGTATTTGTAAATTATGACCGATTCTGTTGTGGATATTTTTTTAGTCACCAGGCCGAGATGCACAGAGCATTAATCCATTAGCTAGAAGAAGAAAAGAATTTTTTTTTTGACCAACTATAAATAAATGAACGATTTAATTATAAAAAATAGTCAAAAGTTGTCCCTATTTTTCCACTTTCACGAGACATCCACGCCTTTTTAGAGGAAGCTGAATTTGCAATAAACCTAATGCGTGCAATCTTTTTGTATTTTAATATAAAATAGACCACTTTTAAAACTTAATTAGCAAAATAGGCTGAAAAAATATTTAATTACTAAAAATCATTGTAAGCTGGGACGGTAGTTATAAATCGTTGTTATAAATGAGGATACAATCATGTTTTTATAAATCATTGTTATAAATGAGGATACAATCATGTTTTTATAAATCATTGTTAATTATATTTGATAATAGTTATACCTAATGATATGTTATTTCTAGATGCTATCGTGGTAGTTCTAGTAGCCCTCGAGTTAGTTCTAGCTGCTACAATTGTTAATTCTGGCTACTAAGTTAGTTCTAACCGCTATTTGTTATTTTTGCTTCTACATTAGTTCTAGCTTCTATTACCCTAGTTCTAACTTGTATACAGCCAGTTCTAGCCCACACATTGCTAGTTCTAAACCCAGCCAGCGTTTTTTACCTTCACATTTGTTAATTCATGCTTCTACGTTAGTTCTAGCTTCTATTACCCTAGTTCTAGCTTGTATACAGCCAGTTCTAGCCCACATCTTGCTAGTTCTAAACCCAACAAGGATTTTTTACATACACACTTGTTAGTTCTAGCTTCTATTACATAGATAGATATAGATTAAATACCTCAATCCTCTTTTATAGTTGTATAGATAGACATAGATAGATATAGATTAAATGGAAGGAGTGAGCACTAGAGATCTTACTAAATGATAGCGAATAAAAAAGAAAAAGTAAATTAATATGAACAAGGAAAAAAATTATTAAGATGACTTGATAAAGATCTATGGGTTTTTGAGATATTGGTGGCCCAAATCTCATCTCGTCCATTTTTAAAAAAGTCTCAAAATCTTTGAAGTATGAAATAAGTATTTTAAAAATTATCAGTTACCTTGGATATGTTTGTCAACTTCACATTTATCTGGTTAAGACCTTAACCAGGCTAGGATTGAACCAAGATAGATGTGGTCCAAAGCTAGATAACAACCTCTTTTTTGAATTAAGAAAAATTAGTTCAATCTTGCACAAGTTTTTGCCAAGCACATTATAAATCCTTATCTAAGTTAATGTCTTTATCCAAGTTAATGAAGGAGTTGCCAAAAAAAGCCTTAGGGCCTGTTTGGATTTGCAGGGGTGAAGGGAAGTTAACGGAAACTGAGTGAAGGGAAGGGAAGGGAAAGGAAGGGAAGGGAAGGGAGTTCCCTTCCCCTTGGTTACACCCCAATTTGGGGGTAACAATTTTTATACTATTAGGGGGTGAATGGAGGTGAATGGAGGTGAATTAACTTCACCTCCTAAGTGTTCCCAAATAAGGTGAATGGAGGTGAATGGTTCCCCTAACTTCCCTTCACCCTCATTCACCTCAATCCAAACAAGCCCTTAGGTTAATCAAGATATGTCAAAACGTCACTCTAATCCAAAATAAAACTATTGATGGTTATTTTCTATTTTGCATAATATCTTGATTTAAAATCCAAAAACAAAAGTTTGCCCTGCACATATTAGAACTTGCACATTGAATATAAAATTTGCATTTAAAAGCATATAATCTAGAATTGAGATTACCATTATCTTCATGGTTGGGACACAATTTCGAATTTTATCCTTTTAAAAAATAATCACCAAAATCAATCTATTCCCAAAATATTTATCAAAATAGACATAATTTCTACCACGCTGGTTGAAACTAGGTTGATTTTGATAAATATTTTGGAAAATAGGTTGATTACAAAAAAAAAAAAATCGTAAAGCCTATGGGATTGGGAATCCCATAGAGCTTAATATACAATTTAGCTCTACGAGATTGTCAATCCCATATAATTCATAAACTAAAAAAAATCGACCTAGTTTTGCTGATGCCACTAAAACTAGATTGATTTTGATAAATATTTTATAAATAAGTCGAAATTAATAACTTTTTTCAAAAGGTCTATTCCAAAAATTTGTCCTCACCGTTGAGTATTAAAAAAAATTTAACTACAGTTACTATTGGAATTAAATTAGCATGTTTAAACTAGAGAAACTGAGAAACTAATTGGAAGTAACCAACTACAAATTCTGGGTGAATTGAATTCTCAAACAAGATGAGATTTAATAGAGTACTGTCTAAAAATACCGAAGATAGAAAACAAAATAATGTCATATTCAAAGTGGAATCCTCGTCAAAACCCATGGAGTTTTTGTCATGAAAGAAAACAGAAAATGACCAACTTGCCTCCACCTACATTTAATAACGACGTTACTTATTTCCATGCTTTTGCCGTAATCGAGGCAAAAAGTAAACAAAAAGTTTTTTTGATTAGTCCTTTAAATCAGCAATATCTGAAATTAGTCTCCTCATTCCAAAACAGGGAAAAAAGGCTCCTCATTATAGGAGATTAATTGGATTATTAGACATCACATTTATTTCATAATTGGACGCATACAACTTTTATAGTTACTTGAATGACCGATCATATAATTGCATACTAATTGTATCTTTAATCAATTCTAGTGCGCTTCGTCAACTTTTTATTACGGAATTTGTAACGTAGCGTAAAAAACTTAACCATTTGACATAACAGATTTATTTCTATGCGCAACGTCTTAATCACTTATGAAAATAAAATTTTGTGACACAATCGAGCAACTTATATTGTGTAAATATATTACATTTTGATATTTTGTTCCTAAAATTTTTGGCTGGTCATCCAAGCAATTAAAACATAAACATGAACATCCAATTACAAGATAAATACAATTGTATCTTGCTCATATCATGTTTCATTTCAAACAACTCATGAGAATTGGATTCAGATCATCTCTGCTATAAAAAAATATACTAACAACTATTTTAGTTATAATCATTGATTACTAAACATACAATTGTGATTTATTTTCTTTAGCGTAAAATAATAATGAGCTTAACTTTTGTGGATATGGTGATTAATATGTTTGCAATGGTTTGCAATGAATCACAGACATTCACAAATTTCTATTATGCAATCAATGGTTTAAATTAGGGTTGCTTTTACCAAACCCCTCCTAACTTTGATGCGTTGCACATGACCCCTAAAAATTATTTATCTCACATAACCACTCTAATCATTGGGATGTCTAATAAAGCTTCCCTGAATTTTTCCCATCAAACTCTCTACATGTAATTTATAAGTAACTAATTTTTTTAAAAGAAAAACAATTCAAAACTTAGGGAAGAGGTATACATTTCTAGGAACTGACAAATGATGAAGTTTGATATTTTACCCTCAAGAATATTTTAGTTATTTATAGATTACATTCAAAGAAGCGAGGTGAGATAAGACTAAAGTATAGAAGGTTTTGTGAGACACTTTATAGTTTAACCTCATAGTTTAGGGGTTATATGAGATAAATAAAATTTAAGTGGTTTATGTAAAATTAACCAATCCATTGTTTCTGGTGGGGAAAACTGGGGTACCAAATAGCAATTCCTAGGAGTTTGAGGGAATAGTTTCAAATATTAAAAGAAATGGACTAATACCTAAAAAACCCAAAATAGGGGGAAAACTTACGAACAACACTTTAAAAATGCTCCGCCTCCGGCAGCTTCCAGTCTCACTCAACCCCTTCCCCTTCGTCACGAAACCTGCTCCCCATCTCTTCATCTCTCGAAACCCTAAAAATCCCACCTTTGCCACATTTTCCATGGCGCCAATTCCTCAGCCTCCGGTAGCGAAGAAGGTGAAGCACGAGATGGAGCTCTTCGGCGACGTCAGGATCGACAACTACTACTGGCTCCGCGACGATTCGCGAACTAATCCCGAGGTGATCGCTCATCTGAAGGCGGAGAACGAGTACGCCGACTTCATGATGGCTGGTGAACTCTTGATCCTGTCGCCATTGGCGATCTTAGAATATGTGGGATCTTGATGTAGATACTACTGCAGAAGAAAGATCTTTGACATTGAACTATGAGTTATAATTTAGAATGAGTTTGAGCTAGGTTACTATTAATAGAATTGGAAATGCGGATTCTAACTATTCATATCTAAAATTTGGAGTTCGAAATTGAAAATCCGTACCATTAGGGGTGATCTCTATCTATAATTTTTTTTGAAGCGTTTCAACATGTTTTATCCATGTATCTTATGTTGTCAAAATCGAAGTTTCAGAATTTCCATGAAGTTGCTTAATTTTTTGCCCCGTGATATATGATGTCAAAACACGTGGAAATAATTGGATTTCTGGTTGCAATTTTGGAAATTTATAATTTAAATTTGAGTTGGCAGTCTCCACATTCTGGATACTATTACTAATAGTATCGCTCAGCTTTCTTACAAAGTTAATAAATGCTTCGGATACTAGTAAGAGAATTCTAGCCAAATCATTAGAGATGTAATATACGATTTCTTAGTAGAATTGAACTGTAATAGTAATACTAGTTGATCAGTTAGCTCAATGTGGTCTCAGTTATGTACATCAACAAAAAAGAAGATTTTTGTTAATAATCGAAGAATCAAGCTGAGATTCCTCATGAGTTCTTTCATGTCATAGACTGCACAGATTATATTGATAGATAGCCCAATGCAATTTTACTTATATACATGAACAAAATAGAATTTTGGTTAGTTTTGTAGGAACTAAGGTGGAGGTTCCTAGAACATGGGGTCTTTTGGACATAGGATTAGATAGATACAACGCAGTATCATGGGGGTTTTATCAGTTTGGGGTTACTTTAGTGGCCAAAATGTCTATCCTTACTTCTTTATAATAGCTTTGAAGTTTTTTAAGTTAAGAGTTTCATGATTGTCTATGGTCATGTTCGTTTCATATGATTGAATCGCCAAATGCTTATATCAATTCAATGCCATTGTTTTCAGGTGTGAAACATGTTGAGGATGATATAAATGCTGAGATAAGAGGGAGAATTAAAGAAGATGACATTTCTGCTCCTGCAAGGAAAGGGCAATATTACTACTATAATAGAACTTTGGAAGGGAAGGAATATGTTCAGCATTGCAGGAGGCTTATCACCAAAGAAGGTCCTGCTTCTGTGCACGATGTTATGAGTACTGGACCTGAAGCACCTGAAGAGCATGTTATCTTAGATGAGAATGTTAAGGCTCAAGATTACGAATATTATAGCATCGGCGCTTTTAAAGTACATTTTCTATAGTCTTTTAAGAGAACTCTTAAATTATGCATCTACCGACTTGTTATTATTATTATTATTATTATTATTTTGACTGAGTGTATGGTGAATTTGTGTTTTTTAGGTCAGTCCAAACAATAAGCTTGTAGCATATGCAGAGGACACCAAAGGCAATGAAATTTACACTATCTATGTCATTGATGCTGAAAGTGGGATTCCTGTTGGAAAGCCTATAGTAGGTTCTCTAACATCGGAACTTGAGTGGGCTGGCAATGATGCACTGGCATATGTGACGATGGATGCCATCCTTCGACCTGACAAGGTTCTTGACTACTCCATTGTTATTATTAGTAGTATTTCCAAAGTTTTGCATTCATTCAAAGGCACTTATTTTTATGTTACATCAATTTTTTTGCTTCATTTATAGTCATTGGCTTTTTGATTACGTACTTGCTACATCTTTCTGGATCTATCTCCACACCTTGAGCCGCTTCATATACGTTCCCATTCTGATTGTATAATGCTTAGTTCATATTGTCCAATTCTGTCCAGAATTAGCTCAAAGCTAACAAGATGGATGATGAAGCCGTTTTGCAAAGTTGACGAATAAATGTATAGTCCATTTCAATGTTTTAGAAAGTGCTAGGCGTTTCTAGGCTCGAGACCTAGCGCCTAGCGCCTAGGTGCCTAGGCGGATGCTTAAGCGGCACATAGAATTTTTTAATATCGAGAGAGGAAGGATCGTTTTTGAATATTCAAATCATACCCTCACTGTTTTACTTGAGATATACTTGGACATAGAGTTTTGATCTCTGGTATATTTTAACCTGGCTAACTTTCTTCAACCATTATTATGTTTAAGCGATCAACGTACCTCCTAACATTTTATAGTCCGCGTAAGCAACATGTTCTCCCCTAGGCACTCCCAATACTTAGACGGGCGGCCTAGATACTGCTTAGGTTTAAGCAGCCGCCCAGGCGGCCACCTAGACCTTTTTTTTTATTTAAATAATGGCTCATTTTGTTTAGAGAAAATAATTATCATCGCTTTATGATCTATGTTAAATAGACAAAGAATAATTAGTCTAAACATTAGTGTAACTGAAATAGAATGTTTGGCGAGTGGAAGATGCTAAAATATAGGTGAATTATAGTGGTAGGCATCAAGGCAGGTGTAGTGTTTGTTCTTCATATCTTCTGGGTTTTGTTTCAAACATATTCAAAACGTAAAAGGTAAATTGAAGTAGATCATGTCCATCACAAGAGCATTTCTGTCTCAGTTGCTTATTAACTATATTTTTTTGATGACAAGCTCCATGTTCCCTTATGGCCACCATCTTGCAGCATATCATTAAAAGGATCCTTTCAATTGTTTAGGCGCTGGGTAATCTATAATACAATGTTGAAAATAGCGATAACGCATAGCGTAACACTTACCTCCGGTTAAGTTACAATAGCGATAACGCATAGCGTAACGTAAGTTAAATAATTTCTTCTTATTTAAATAATTTATAGATATATAACATTCAAAATAAAAAAAATATGAATAATCATCGCAATTCTCAATTTCACAAATCAATATATCATCAAAAAAAAAAAAATCATTCTCACTCTCATTTTACTTATCAATATTTCACATATCAATAGCTACAGTATTTAATTTTCATAGACTTACACCAAGTTACAACCTAAATATAGTTAATTTTTTACTGGTAATTAACTTAATTTATCTATAGTAAAATAGTTACAGTAATTAAGATAACAAATTAATAGTGTTTAACTATTCCGCTTCAATTATTATTTTTACTGCAAAAAGCTACAGTAAAAAAAGGAAAAAAGGACCGACAGTTCCCAGTTAATTTACCTACAAAGAAAAGAATAAAAAAAAGCTGAAGCCTGGAACCTTCTCGTTGAGGAGAGAAAAAGAAAGAAGGCTAGAAACGAAAGAAAAAACAAAGAGAAAGGAAAAAAAGAAAAACAAAACTGGAAAACAAAACAAAGAGAGAAATAAACTAACCTTGAGCTGCGATCTCCGTCGTCTTTGTGGCTGCCCGTCGTCGTCTTCGTGGCCGATCGCTGTCGTCTTCGTGGAGTTGAGGATGCAGACAACTTTCGGAGGAAAGGTAAGTGATCGACAACCCTAGCTTGATTTACTTCTCTCTGTTTTTTTTTCTCTTTTTGATTTTGGGGTGAAGTGTTGGAAGCCGATTTGAACCCAAATCCTATTTCTTGCGGACCTGGGCATGAGGAGATCGCATTGCTCTTGGCCATTAATCAAATTAATCAAATAACCTAGGTTACATTACGCTACAGAGAAATGCTACGTAACGTGCGCTATGCCCAAAATAGCGCACATTATTTGGTATTTGCGCTATTTTGAAACGCCACGTTGCGTTAGGTCATCGCTACGTTACGTTAAACGCTATTTTACGCCACGAAACGCGTTATTTTCAACATTGCTATAATAAGTCCTTAAGAAAGTTCGCCTACCATTAACAAATTCTTCACTTTGTTTAAAAGCTGAGTATTGAGAAAGAAAAGTAAAATTATGACTGCTTAACATTTCAGGGGTATATTAATTATTAAACCTATATAGAGGTCAAACTTTCTAGTCTTTAATTTCGTGGCGGACCATAATTCCTAATAGGTTAAGAAAATAAGGGTAAGTTAGAATAAATAAGTATTAAATGTGAGGTTACTTGGTGTTTTGATCTTGAAATATTAAGAAAACTGTTGTTGCATACAATGAGCCGAAAGATATAAGATGGACTTTCAATGCATGAATGCTTCAACAAACAGATTGTAAGAAATAAATCTAAAGCTAATAGAATGCATAACAACATGATGTTTAGCCCTATGAATAGCTGCCAAGATACGGCCAGAGGCAAGGAAACTCTGCCAAAAGAAAGTCTTTTCATACATCCTAGAAGCATTATCTTGTTGGTTAATCTTGTGCATCCATTTGTCAGTTGGTGGGCAGGCGGACGGGCTAGTAGACATGCTGATGTGATGTGAGTGGGTGTGGGCATGAGCATAGTATAGGTGTGAGCATTGACATGTGCATGTACAGGTTCATGTTCATGCATGCAAGCATGCTGGGACGCGTGCATGCAAGTGTGAGTCTTTGACCTCCCATAACCCAACCCCAGTGGCCAATCTTCTAGTTTATTAATTTACACTCATGCAACCAACAAGCATGCATGATAAGGAAGGAAAAATATAATATATGAAACAAATCAATAAGTTGGAATGCACTAACTTTTCAACAGATTGATAGTCATTACCATGGTTATGCAGTTCTTTAGATACTGTAGCTCCTTTGGGTGGACAGTTTGGATAAGAACAGTGGAAATCAATGGATGTGAAAGTTAGGAGTGGACAAGTCAAAAGTCCTAATTTAGGATCTGCTAGAATTATGTGACCAAAATGAACCTATCCGAGGCAAATGAAAAGGATAATATGCCCACTAATTTTACGTAGGAGGGGTCCCATACTAGAAAATTAGAAATGAAGAAATAAATTGATTCCTGACGAATTTTAGGATATCCATTTTATTGTTGCAGGTCAAACAATGTGCTGGTTTCAGAAGTTATGGTGATTTTATAGATCTCTGTTGGCAATCAATTCGGTATTACATAACTCAGACAATCATTTTATGTGAGATATGTCAACTGTTAGGTCTGAGAGCTTTGTTTGTGATGATGTCAGTAAGGGAATCACATATGAACTTTTTTGGATAAGTTTACATTGCTGCTCATCTTGAGTTTCCTTATTGTTAACCTGAAGTTATGTCCAAGATAACATAACGCATTAGACTAGAGTGATCCTTCTACAGTTGTTTTGACTGATTCTTTACACTATGCTGACTTTTGTATCGCTTGAGATATTCTTCATAATTGCTGATATTATCTGTGAAGCTCAATTGAGATATGAGATACTGAATTTTCATTTTATATATCTTATAATCTTTTCCTTCACAGGTATGGTTACACAAACTGACATCTGACCAGTCAAGTGATAAATGCCTCTATCATGAAGAGGATGAAATGTTTTCTCTTGATCTTTATGCTTCTGAAAGCAAGCAGTACCTATTTGTGGGATCTGAAAGTAAAAATACAAGGTTTATATTCTACCTAAACATTTCTAAGCAAGCGGATAAGCTTCTGACTTTGACTCCGCGTGTTTATGGCGTTGATACTTCGGCTAGCCATCGGGGGAACCATTTTTATATTAAAAGGAGGAGCAATGAGTTTTACAATTCAGAATTGGTTGCTTGTCATGTGGACAATATACCACAAACAACAGTTATTCTCCCTCACAGGGATAGGTAAATATCAAACAGTCTGGATTGCATTATCTTTTAAAGAGTGCAATTACTTCGTTAGGAAATTGTATTGTGATTTCTTTAAAAATAATTTCTTATATACAGTAAATATGAACTACTCATCAAGAGAATGTTCCATCAATCTTGTTGATAAATGTGCTGTTCATGAGTCTTTTGATGTTGTGCATTGTGCTAAAGCTATTTCCAAAATTATATCTCAACATTTTGTTAGATATCATAAGGGTATGATTTACCTAATATTTCTTTGATGTAATATATTTGTTAATTTGGAAAAGAATTTTTTTATCTTTGTCTCTTGTTTTCTGATCTTGGGTACAAAGCAGTTTTTGTTGAGTAGTTTAACTATTCTCCTTTGTCAAAGTAACTTAACCAATTAGTATTTTCCTCTTAATATAAAACCTATTCTTGTGATCATATTCAGGGTTTACCCATTGAGTGTTCATTTTGGAGATCATAATCCGGAGATGTTACTTAATGCCATAAACGCAATACTTCTTTAAAAAAATGTGAAGAGCACCTGCATTTGTGAAGAAAAGTATATTATCTTCGATGTTTCTTTTATATTTATGGTTTCATCTTTTTGGTTTCTCTTTGCAGTTTTTAACCATGTGATTTGTCTTGTGACTTACTCCTGCCCCAGCCTTCACCGAAATCCAACCCACTAACCCATCCGCCCACAACTTAAAAAGAGAAGGAAAGGAAACGTATGCACACGCATGATGATGCCCAGAGTCCCAACCCTGATTGCTGCATTGATTGCCTGATTACAGGATTAGAGGATGAATCAACTCCTGTTCAGCCTTCAAGTTAATAATAGTGGATATTCTGAAATTCAACGTTCAGCCTTCAAGTTAATAATCGTGGATATTCTGAAATTCAACGTTAAGGAGATGGAATTGATAGGTGATATATAATTTGAGCCACGTGAGAGAAAGATCCGAGGCTTTGTTATGCTACAACATTAGAAGTTAGCAAGCAGAGTGTTGTTTTATATGCTCCTTCTTCGATTTCTTCTACATCTTTTCACCACTAATTTCTCTTGATTCTATCTTCTTTGTTATCGCTTTTCACTAACCTGGATTTTTAACATGTTGTAAGCTCCTTTGTGCTGTGCACAAACAAGAGATTAGATTCGAGGGCATGGTGTAGCTTGATAGCACAATGCCATCACACATGGTATAAAGTCATATAACCCCCATGCTTCTCTTCTAGGCTCTTCTCATGCTTTACTAGTTGAACTTTTATCTGCCAACAGTTGATTAATTTAAGGTAGATGATATATCTCTTTCTATGATTTCTAGAATGCCTACGACAATTTGCTATTTTCCCTGAATTCTGGAATTCTATATCATCTTTTGTGCAGTAGCTGTAAGTCTGTAACTCTTGCTATTAGTTCTTCACTTAATGTCTGACTGTAGCGTTTTAGTCAAAATAGTCATGAAGTTCAACTTTTATTACTCCAATTTAGGTTTGTTCACTAAAAGGTAGTAAAAGCATTTCTCTAGAGATATGTATGTCCCTGTCAAAAGTTGCTTTTGAAATTTGGCATAATCAAGGTTTAGTGTAGTTATTTTGCAGTCTTATTTTTCTATCTTTAGTTCCATTACTTGTTTGTGTTATTTTCTGATTATGTGTATCTTCTTATATGTTTTTATGGTACCTGGTACGTTTGTACTCTGCATTCCCTATTTTATAGGACAGCTTTATTTGATACTAATTGAGTCTTTTACTTTAAAATAGCTGATAGAATTTTTCTCCGTGAGGTGTCATATATAGTGGATGTTAGCACAGGCATGTGATCTTATTCACTATTTTTGCATCCAAGTCTTAATGGTTTGAAACCCTTTTCTCAGTGTGAAGATTCAGAATTTCCAGCTTTTCAGTGATCATATTGCTATATGTGAGCGAGAAGATGGTTTACCTAAATTGACTGTGTATCGCCTTCCAGCCAATGGAGAAGCAATTGGACGCCTTGAAGGTGGCCGGAAAATTAGCTTTATTGATCCAATATACTCAGCAGACCTTAAAGAATCACAGTTCTCTTCAAGTATTGTACGATTTTCGTATAGTTCCATGAAAACACCACCTTCTGTGTATGACTATGACATGGACACAGGTGTTTCAGTTCTAAAAAAGATTGAGACAGTAAGTACTTTGATTGCCCTCTAATTTGTGAGATAGAAGAATACTTTCTGACATGAAAGTTTGGTTGAGGATTTGGGTGCATGGTAGTATTTAGCTCATGATGTCTTTTCTTTCTTTCCTTTTTTCTGAGCCTACCCATTGATACGGTGAATATTCCAGTAGAATATATCTTTGTGGTTAATGATTTAAGACAAGAAAACATCACCCATATCATCTTTTTTCAGCCTTAGTATCTTTCTATCCCTGAAAATTTTATTCCCATCATTTTTGTTAATGTTCACTATATAAACATGTTTTCTTGATATTTTTGCTTCAACATTTCAAACCTTATGATTGTAATTCTGTGCAGAATAGTATCAATATGTTAATGTGTAGCTGTCGTCTAAGAATAAGAACAGTGGACTAGACTTTGGTGCTTTTTCTTTCAGTGTCATAGCTCTTCATGATCAGCTTCAATGTAAAAATTTGTTATGCTTAACTGTCACTTCTACTTGTATTAAATCTCTTCTTTCTAGAAAAAAGATATAGTCTAAGGAATGAAATTCATGACATGGTTTCGTGGTCCAATTTGCTAAAAGTTTGAAGTGTTTAGATTATGCTGATTCAAGTTAAGAAGAGTATAAGTTACTCAATAAGTTTTTATATCAGATATGGTCATATGGATAAGAATCTGACGCGAGTCTCAAACGGAGGAGTATGATAAAAGTAATCAAATAGAATATGAAAGGGGAACAGATAGAAGAGATAGGTTGCATATCAGTATGCTGAGAAAATATAGTTTTCCATTCTGGATGGCTTTGCTATTATTACATAAATAGGTAGAAGACAAAAAGGTAGAGGTAAGCAAGATTACTCAATTAATTGTATCTTATATGCAAAGTTGAACATTGCTCAACCATATAACTAATACAGTCAAAACCTATTAGAGAAGTGACTAATTAGTATTAGTCTATTAGTTTAGCTGCTCATAAAAAGTCTATACAATTACATTTTGTTTGCTTTTGTATAAATAATACATGACTTCACTCTCTGGGACTGAGGCGCTTTTCAAACATGACATGGTATTGAGCATGTTATGTTTCCAGAATTAAAACTCTAACTCTAACCCCCTCCATCCTACTGCCACCTGGCCCTGTCCTGTTCCTACCTTGCTGCGACCCTGCATCCTCCCCACCTTGCTGCTACCTCCCCCCACCCTGCATCTTCAGTGCCCATCCCCTCCCTATTGATACCCTGATAGATCCTACTATTCGCTTTGATGAGAATTTAGGGAGATGGTTTAGCTGATCCTGGGATATCTCATAAATTAATTGAGAAGCTTATTTATTTAAAGGAGATTCATCCCAGTATTACTTACGGTGTAGGGTTTTTTAAGTGCATGAAGGCTCCACACATTTTATTAATAAGTGTAGTCTATTGTATTCTAGAGTATCTTAAAGGTGCCGAGAGTCTCAGTTCTAATCCCTCGACTCAACTGTTGGTCATTTCAAGCTGATTGCTCATGTAATCCTCTTGAACATCGTTCCATTAGTGGCTACTTTATTTGTTGGGGAGCCCTGTGATTTTGACAAAATAAGAACAAATTGTTGCATGATCCAGTAGTGAGACTGCATAAATGGTGCAAGTTTCAGTATTTTCTTTGGAAATGAGGTGTGCTTCAGTCTTGATAATTAAGCTGAATATATATTGCTAACTGTCCAGAGTTTTATGAGTGTACCAAGTATATTAAGGTTGATTCTTTCAGTTCATTAATGTCATGATGATGGTTATGAAGATTGTCATTTCATGTGCTAGTTTGTGTGGTGAATAAGTAACATTTTGCTAAAGTATTGCCTCGGAAATGTTTTTTTCTTCATCTTGTAATAAATTAACTATGCTTGATCGTAGGCATAAAAGACAACAGTAGTTAGTCATAATCTTTAAGTTTAGTTCAATACTGGAAGTGTCTAGTTGTGTTTGATTTGCTTTCTTACTGTTAAGAGTGTAAATTTTAACCCTCAACCCTCACTACAACTTTGGAGTTCTAGTACAGTGGTAGAAACTTTAACATGGTATAGCAACCCAAATTCAAATCCTATCAGCCATGTATTTAAAACGGATGCAAAAAAGGAATATTATTACAAGAATCCGGGTTTTAACCCACAAGGGCATATTAGAGTATAAAAGCATAACCCTCAACCATCACCACAACGTCGGAGTTCTGGTGAAATGGAAGAGATCTTTACATCTGCAAAATACAAATAAATAATACTTGCAACCCCCCTGGTGCGGCCCCCTCAAATTTTCTTTTTTCCTACATATCAAAGTCCAGTTAGAAAACCAACGGTTTTCCAATGCATAATCTACTTAATAAATGAAACATAAAAATGCTATAGAAGTTCTAGTTTTCATAACATGTAAATAGAAAAAAAATGATCTCATGTAAATCGCTAATTTCAATATGCATATATAACCATGTCCCCATATCCTATCATCCTACAAATTTTTCGTGTCCCGTATTCGCACTCGTACCTTGTAAGTTGTAATGTAGATTGTGTCATCCTGGGGCTGTTTGGGTCTTTTTTGGTGAAGCATGTGATAGCTGCAGTAATACGCAAACTAGAGTCTAGTTAGACCTGCCAGCTAAAATAATACTACCCCAAAATGGAGCCTTTCAATTCAGATATTTGGCTGCCACATCAGGCTCCTATTTGACCAAACAAACAAAGTAAAATCTGTAATACTGTTGTAACCTGACAGTTACAGTAGCTTTCAAGCAAAAGCCCCCTCTACCAAATAGACCCTCATTGCCTGTCTAAGGTTCAACAGGGGAGGGGTATTTACTCTAGGAGGATTGTCTAAGGTGGCTAGTGGCCAAACTAAGTTAAAAATAGATAATAAGTGTTAGACATATCCCTAACCCTATGAAATGAACCTTTAACTGTAAAATAAACTGTCCAACAAATCTATATGTAAAGGCATATTGTTATTAGTAATGTTACACATATGTTACATCTTGAGCTCCTGTTCCGTCCTATGCTGAAAAAGAATTGAAAGAAGGATTCTTCTCTATTATTAGTAAACATTTAATGTTTGTCTACATTGTGGCTGATTGTGCTCTGTACTCAATTCACGTTTCCTGGTCTTTGACATCCTTTCCTCTTTGAAACTCTGCAGAAATGAGAAGTTTATGCAGTTTTCAGACTGAGGCAGTCATGATTGTTCTTATAATTTATTATTACGCTGGATCATCCTCTTCTGCTTATAGATTTATATGTTTATTACCCCTATATATAAAGAGACTTTTTTTAATCTGTTTTTCAGGTATTAGGTGGTTTTGATGCATCAAATTATGTGACTGAAAGAAAATGGGCAGTTGCTTCCGATGGCACTCAAGTTCCTATTTCAGTTCTTTACAGAAATAACCTTGTGAAGCTTGATGGTTCAGATCCTTTGCTATTATATGGTTATGGCTCATATGAGGTAATCAGTGATGCCCTTTATACCTATAACAACTTATGCGATCAAATGTTGACTTAAAGCATTATAGTGCTATGGCGTAGTGAGGGCCTGTAGTAGCATTACTTTATCAATTGTTTACATGGAGGAACCAATATGAGAGGATATGTTATTTCCTTGCTTATATTTAGCGTGTCACTGCAATTTGTTGTGGGTACTTGAAAAGCTTAGTTCCTGTTTTTTTCCTTGATCTTTTAATCTTGCTAATATTGATAGCCATCGAGTGTTGGTTTTTCATTGATATCACCACTATTTCAAAAGCAGTCTATGCAGCCTCTTAGCCGCCCACCTGGGCGGAGGCAGTACCCCGTACAAATTAAGGGCGTGTTTGGATTTCAATGGGGGTTAAGGGAAGTTAAGGGAAACTAGGTGAGAGAAGAGAAGGGAGTTCCCTTCCCCTTGGTTACACCCCAATTTGGGGGGTAACAAATTTTATACTATTAAGGGGTGAACTAAAGGGGAATTAGGGTGAATAACTTCACCTCCTAAATGTTCCCAAACAAGGTGAATGGTTCCCCTAACTTCCCTTCTTACTTATTCCCCTCAATCCAAACAAGCCATAAGCGTTGGGGCACCCAAGATGGTGTCGACCACTTAAGCAGGTCGAATCGTGTCAAAAAACGAGTAAATGGCCCACTTAAGCATGGTAACATGTGAAGAAAATGGATCAGATTAAAATGGAACAAGTTAAAATCCAACATCAAAATCCAAAATTAGATAATATGCCGAGGATAGGATTTTGAATCTTCCAAAAACTTTTTCCTTGCTTGGTGTCTCCCCTCAGCCTCTCTCTTTGCCAGTACGACAACTATTGATGTGGACATCGCACAGCCTCCACTTCGCACATACTTTCGCCGTCGTCGTCGTCTTGTTTCAGCTTATATTTGGTTTTGATTTTTAGAAGGCTTGGAGTCTAGCTAGTGTTACTTTTATTCTATTTATTGTATTTGCTCTTTTTTTAGTCCCACATCGGATATGAGAATGAACTTGTAGTTGTTGAAGGCCTATTTAAAGAGGTCAATTCTATGAAATAAGGCAATGAATATTTGAAGAAAATTTTGTTTCATTTGTGAAACTTTGGGTAATTGATTTGATCTATAGGATTGAGTCAATGGTGGTGAAGCCGAGGCCCGGGTTGCGATTCGTGGTCATATCTTGTTAATTTTCCCAAACCCTAGCTTTCCCAAATCTTTGTTCTTCCCCAAATTTCCCAAATCCCTTACATAAACCCTAAAATTCCCATCATCCCGCATCATTTTGGTATCAGAGCAAAAGTAGATCAACCGGATTCTTCTCCATCTCAGGTTCTTCCATCTTTTCTATTATTATTATTATTATTTTTTAAGTTTGTAGCAAAAAAAAAAAATCAAAACCCCTCATTCTCTCTCAGAACTCATCAAAGCCTTCCATTACAAAAGAAAAAAAAGAAGAAAAGGTATCAGAGCCCTAATCCCCATCCCGTTCCGATATTTCCCAGCCGCCACCCTCTTTAAAATTTCGTCTCCTTCCTCTCTCTCCCCCAGAACCTTCTCAGATCCGATTTCAAAACCCTTCTCTCCCTCACAACCACCTCCTCCTCTGTTCTTCTCTTTCACAAGTTACCATCTCTCCACATTCGACCCCACATCCGACCTCAGATCCAACCTGCGCCTCCTTGGCTTCACCACGTCGCTCGCCGACCGCCGCGACGATTGCCCCTCCTCAAACGCCTCGACGACCTCGACCCGCCCGTCAATCCCCGCTCGTCATCCACAATCCACCGGGTTCGACGCCGACCGTCGCCACAACCCTGCCGCGAAGCTCACCGTCACGATCATACGCCCTGTTGGCGTTCAACAGCCGCCCCTCATCGTCGACGACAACCAGCCCCCTCTCGCTGGTCCTTCAGTTTCGCCGCGACGACCGCCTCGCCCTCCTGTTTCCGTCCAATCGACGCCGACAACAGCCAGATCCCGTCGACTTCCTCCTTGTCGACCATCCGACTTCTTCATCGTCGCTGCCCTCTTCAACGGAGCCTTCACAGTCGCCGCACACGCCATTGTCCAGCTCGCCTCAGATCTCTGCCAGCCTGCAACACCATCATTCAGAGGTTTGTTAGTGAATCTTCATTAAGGTAATTCTAATATCATCGATTCTACGTCTTTCTAATTATTCTGGAAATTGCTGCAATCGCTTTTTAGACTGGTTCATCTTACGTGCTATCAATATTGTTGGCTGTCCACTAAACTTGTGAGCGTGTGAATCTGTTCTACCTTTATTGGTGCTAGGTCTCGATTTTAAATTAGAACTTTTCCAAATCTAGCTTGATTAATTATCTTGTTGCAATCTTACGACTCAATATTATCAGCATGAATTTTGTTGTCGATATAATTATCACAAGTTAAATAATTGATGTTCTAAGTTGTAACAAACCGTGGGATAGCGTATTGAACATTGCGAATTGGTCTCCTTGTTGATTTCTCTTTTTTCTATCGTATTCCACATTATCATTTAGCATCATGTTAGGTGTTAGTATTGATTCTGCATTTTGATAGATTGCATTTAGGCAAAATTAGTTAGCAATTCATTGCATCGTGATTATTAAGATCATCTAGATTGCATCTAGAAGCTAATCTGTTGCATGCGCACCCGTAGTGGAACACGATATTCTCCCCCAGATCCTAATTCCGAGATGGATCCCAACCTTACAAGCCTTACAAAAGCTATAGAAGCCTTAACTGCACGTTTCGACATTGTGGAACAAGATTTGAGAGAGACGAGGGAACGTTTGGACCGAGTGACGGATAGGCCTCGGGAACGTGATGAAGAAGGCGGATCTCGAACCGAACGTTATCCTCATCAACCTCATGAATACATGGACCCTCACACCAATCGTTTTGGAAATCGCCCACCTAGGGACAATTCACCCTTTGACCTAGATGAGATGCATCTGAAGTACGTTAAACTGGAGGCACCCACTTTTGAAGGCCAGTTGGATCCTCAGGTTTTTATCGATTGAATGTCGAACATGGACCACTATTTCGGTTGGTATAAAATGTCCGATAAGAGACGAATTCGATTTGCCAAGATGAAGCTAGTGGGTCAGGCTAGACAATATTGGTCTAACGTTGAGAAGTTGATGACTCTTAGGAGGCAAGAGCCCATACAAACTTTGGATGAGATGAAATTGAAACTCCAAGAAAAATACTTACCTGTGTCGTATAAGCAACGATTACTCGATCAATGGCAGCGCTTGACGCAAGGCAATCGGCCAGTATCGGAGTACATCACCAAATTTGATGAATTTTTGGTTAGGTGTGGCGAGAATGAGTCTGATACTGTAGTCTTATCTAGATTTCGCTCAGGACTTAGGGAAGATCTTAGACGTGAACTCTTTGTGCGGGACATCTCCACTTTAGAACAAGCCTATCAGCTTGTCCAAGATTTAGATCGATCACAAGGCTCTCCTTTCACTAGGCGCATTGATTATGGGAATAACACCAATAAGTCCACCACTGTTAAGTTCCCACTTAATCAACCCTAGTCTCAATCTCGAACTGGACCTAGTACTTCCACACAGAAGCCAGATGATAAAGGCAAGGGAGTTTATAACGAGTCATCTAAATCAGCTCAATCTACTCGATGTTTTAGGTGTCAAGGATTTGGTCATATTGCTGCCCAGTGTCCGAGTAAGACAAGAACTTTAATTGTTGAGACCCGATCAGACAGTGATCAGGATGATTTAGAGGAGATTGTCCACAACCCTGATGAAGATGTTTGGGAGGATGAACCTGCTGATGCTATCTTAGGATGTATTTTGAGCGTGCCAACACCTTCGATCAACAAAGTGGACAAAATTTTCCGCCGACTTAGTGTTGTGAGGTGCGCATTAGCTCAACCTAGGGATAGTGATGACTGGCGTAAAACTACAATTTTTCACACAACCACAAAGATTAATGACAAAAACTGTCGAGTCATAATTGACAGTGGGAGTTATATTAACGCCGTCGCCTCCAACATGGTGACTGTACTTGGATTGAAACCTGTTCCCCATCCTCAACCATATAAAGTATCTTGGGTGAATACTGCATCCATTGAGGTTAAAGAACGATGTCTTGTCCCGATCCAATTTGTTACTTATTCGGACAAGATTTGGTGTGACATTGTTACCATGGATGTTGGGCACATCATTTTAGGTAGACCCTGGATATATGATCTAGATGTCACTATCTATGGACGATCAAACACTCATTCGTCCATGATGGAAAGAAGATCAAATTAGTTCCATCGCGACCTGCCCCCCATCTGCTCCCAAACGGATCGATTCTTCCAATAACTAAAGAGGACTAAATTTAATCAGCTCTAAGTCTCTGGACAAGGAGGTCGCTAAAGGGTCTACCGTTGTCGCCCTTGTTGCTAGGGAGATTACGAAAACTCTCAAGAGCAAATTCCTTCTGTAGTAACTCTAATATTGAAGGAATTTGCAGATGTTTTCCCTAAAGAACTCCCAAACTCTCTACCCCCGATGCGTGACATCCAACACGTTATAGATTTTGTTCCAGGATCTAATCTTCCCAACTTGCCTCATTACAGAATGAATCCAACTGAACATGCCGAACTCAAGAGGCAGGTTGAAGAACTGTTGACTAAGGGGTTCATTAAAGAGAGCCTGAGTCTGTGTGCTGTGCCGGCATTACTAACCCCTAAGAAAGACGGTTCATGGAGAATGTGTGTTGATAGTCGAGCAATCAACAAAATCATCGTGAAATATCGGTTTCCTATTCCCAGACTGGATGATATGTTAGATATGATGTCTGGAGCCACCATATTTTCCAAAATTGATTTGAAGAGTGGCTACCATCAAATTAGGATTCGTCCAGGGGATGAGTGGAAGACAACTTTCAAGACGAAAGATGGTCTATACGAGTGGATGGTTATGCCTTTTGGGTTAACAAATGCTCCCAGCACCTTCATGCGAGTTATGA